GGTCCCAGAGTGGGGTGAGAATGGGGATTTTGCAGTATCCTTCCCCTGCCATACCCACCAAGCCATGCCCACCACCCACCCCATGCCCACCAAGCCATGCCCACAGAACCGGTAGTAAAAAAAAATGCATTTCACCACTGAGGCAGACATTTCTCTCTCTGGGCATAATGAGACTGTATCTGCTGAACAAAACTCCACCTTGGTGACAGGGAGAGCATCTGGCCACTGAACTGAACCCCAATATTGCTGGGGAACATCAAGAAAAAGAAGGTTGTTCATCATCCATAACAAATTCAATCCTCACTGTCCAGAGTTGCCCTCATGGTTGGTGTTTCTTTTTTACTCACAGGTGTCAAGAGGAGGATGCCGCTATTTACCAGGCTTCGGCAAGAAACAACAAGGGCATCGTCTCCTGTTCTGGAGTTCTGGAGGTGGGAACCATGACGGAGTACAAAATTCACCAAAGGTGGTTCGCCAAGCTCAAGAGGAACGCCGAAGCCAAGCTGTACGAGATCGAGCAGAGCAGGAAGCGAGGGAAGGAGAACGTAGAGATGGAGCAGCTGAGACGAGTCAGCCCAGACAGGTTCCAGAGGAAGAGACGGTTGACGGGGGACGTGGGGATGCGCTCGGGCACCTCCCTCTGGGATAAAGAGGAAGTAGCCAAGGTGCGGATTCCGGACGGGAAGGCCTGTTTCGGTGAAGACGAGAATGCCAAGAACAGAGAGGCTGCTCTGACGGCCCCCACCCTTTTCCCCAACGACTTCATCGCGGGACATCTGGAAACGGAAGTGGCCACCGCCAACGGGGACTCTTCCCTGGAAAGCGGGGAGGAAAACGGAGAAAGGAACGACAATGGCTTCCTCGAATATATTTACGAGACGGTGGGAATGGTGCCCAAGGAATTTTCAGCGAAGAAGAAAAAGAAAGAGGAAGATAAGGAAGCTCCAGTGAAGCCAAGCCAAGATGTCTCCCAACTGGAGGATGGCTTGCCACCAAGGAGGAAGGTCTCCATGCAGAAGGAGGCTGGGCCTGCGGTGTCATCCCCAAAAGTTGCATCTCCCGTTGTCAACGGAAGGCCAGTGGAAACTCAACCCCAAGAAAAGTCCCTGCTGCATTCCCCCACTTCCAAACCTGAGATGCATTTTTCGTTGAAAGAGATGTATTATGACGCTGGAGCAAAACCTAAAGTGGAGAAGAATGTGCCGGAAAGTAAGGAGAAGACCCTTCCCACTGGAGACCGTTCCCAGGTGAGGGACTCTCTTCCGACAACTGTTCAAGCTCTGAAAAGGGCCAAGGCGGAAGATGAAAGAAACGAAACCCAAATCAGGCAGAGATTTAAGGGCGTGGAGATGAAGCAGGGCGAAACGGAAGCCCCTGGGATAGACAAGGAATCGAACCCCCAGCAATTCCATCATCCCAGCCGGGCAGTGGAGCCCACAACAGAGGTCCTGATGGGACCTAAGGTGGAATGTCCAAGCGGCAGGGCCCCGGAAAGCGACGTTCTGCAGCCAGACCAAGCTGGCCCACCAAGAGTTGGAAGCCCACCTCTCTTCCCGGAGGAGAAGGAAGGGGAAGTCCTTCTCATCCGTGAAACGGACTTGCTGGACTCTGCTCTCCCTGAGGCTGGACTTGTGGATTTGCCCCTGCCTTTGCAGGAAGCGAGGCGAGCCCTTACCCCGCTAGCCTCGGAGGAGAAACCGTTGCCTGATCCAGGGCCTTCTGAGGTACTGTAAGTTCTAATTTTTCTTCTTGGGTGAGGCTGACCTCATGCATAATGCTTGCCAACCAGCTCTACAGCAACTGCCCGAGTTCGGCCCGCTATTTATAGCAGAGACACGCATGAGCTGGCAGGCCAGGAAAAGAGGAGAGAGAGGGGTCTCCTGGACGGCCAGGACGGATCCCTGGTTTTGAAACCACCAGAATATGTAGAGGGCTTCCTTGGTTCTTCGGTAGGTGGCAAACCAGGTGGGCCAGGTACAGCCATAGAGAGAGGGCGAAGCCCAACTCAGCTTTGGGGTGCATGTGGGCCAGTATGGATCAAAGCTCTACTCTTGACTCCAGGNTTCTTTCTTTTCTTCCTTCTTTCTTTCCTTCCTTCTCTTTCTCTCTCTCTTTTTCTTTCTCTTTCTTTCTTCCCTTCCTTCTTTCTTTCTCTTTCTTTATTTCTTTCTCTCTCTCTCTTTCTTTCTCTTGTCTTCTTTCTTTGTTTTTCTTTCTTTTTTCTCTTTTCTCTATCTCTCTCCCTCCCTTCCCCCTCTTTCTTTCTTTCTTTCTTTCTTTCTTTCTTTCTTTCTTTTTTCTCTCTTTCTCTTCCTTTCTCTCCCCCTCTCTCTCTGATTTGTTTCCCTCTTTTCCCTCTCTCATTCTCTCCATCCAGCTCTTTCATTTCTCTCTCTCCCCCTTCTCTCTCTTTGATTTGTTCCCCTCTCATTCTTTCCCTCCAGCTCTCTTTCATTTCTCTCTCTCCCCCTTCTCTCTCTCTGATTTTCCCCCTCTCTTTCATTCTCTCCCTCCAGTCTCTTTCATTTCTCTCCCCCTCTCTCCCCCTTCTTTCCCTCTCTGATTTGTTACCCTTTCTTTTCCCTCTCTCTCATTCTCTCTCTCCATCATTTTCTCATTTCTCTATCTTTCTCTCTTTTTCTCCCCCTTTCTTGCTCTCATCTCTTGTGCCTGTGTGTGCGCACACCAGGAAAATCCCCTACGGGGCCGGGATCACACTGCACAGTGCATAGATTGTGTGGCAATGGCTGACTTCATAAGCCTAGCCACAGTCCAGAAACTCAAGACCCCCACTGTTCCTCTGAAATCTCCATTGCCATTGATCTTTTACTGGTGCTGGGGACCACTTGGTTAGAACACCATGATCCCACTATTAAGTGGAGGAACTGGTCTATTGCTTTTAACAGCTCTCAATGCCTTTCTCATTGCAATTGACTCTTTGGATCCCACCCACCTACCCTACCTGAAACCTAACAGAAAGTTCTCCACTCTGCCAAGTAAATACAGAGATGTTACTGATGTTTTTGGGGAAGGAGTCTCAGTCATCCCCTGTCACAGAGCCTGTGATTATGCCATAAATGTGGTCCTTGTGCCAAGATAACAACTAATGGGATTTAAGGTGGGCTGGATTTAGATCTTAGGCATGAAGGGACTCATGACTGATCAATGTTTGACCCCTCCCTTCAGCTCAGCTGGGTCATCTCCTACAACATCCATCCTTCCATCTTGTCCTCCTCCTCTTCCATGGGTTCTTCTATGCTGCTTTCGCTCTCCTGCATTGCATCTTCGAAGTCTGAGTTCTCATAGAATTTGGCACTTAGAACTTGTCTGTGTCTTTGCTCTTTTGCTCTAGGGCTTCTCTGGCTGCAGCAATTTCATTGAATCTTCAGCATGGGGAGAGTTGTTATTAATATAGTATATAGGGGCAGACCAATGATTTGCAAATAGTTTACTATCTTAAAAATGGGGAGGGGCTTGTTTTGAAAGAAGTAGGAATTAATACTGTAGTAATGTATTAATCAGTATTCAATTAGGAGGATAATATGTGTATATGTGTTTGGTTTTTAAATGCACCTTTTAAATGGCTTAAATGTTTTGTGTTTTGATTTTTTGGGATTTTGGGGACTTCTGTATTTTAATTTACTTTTGAACAAAATTTAAAAAAAAATGCAAAACAACAACAACAACACCTATTGTTGGCTTCCAGTAGTTAATACTTCATAAAATAACACACAACTTATCGCTGATCATTGAACAACTGTATTCAGTCATGATGGTCTTGGAACAGATGTTTTATAACCCACAAAGCATATTTTCATTATAAGGTATTTTGAAGGAATGTTGCTAAAATTGACTGAAGTAGTTTAAATGAGAGCAATTAAGCAATGCTGAACAGATATGATCCACTTTACTAATTAATTGACATAGACATTCTATCAGTTCTATACACTTCGAGGCCAAAAGAATAATAACGTTACATCTGAATTACATCTACATACACATTACATCTAAATTTTGTTTTATGATCAAATGGTTGATTTTGACACATTCTTTTGCACTTCAATCTTTCTATCCATACTGTACATGCATTTACACAGGAAAAAGATTCAAAAATAATTTTATTTGCTTTGATTAATAAAAAATTATTCTTCTTTTGATCTGTTTAAAAATATTTTGTCCTTTAATTTTTTTAATTTTCATTTATTCTTTTGAATAACCTATATAAAATTATAGCTCTTTTCCCACCTGNATAAATATGATGGAAAATGAGGATGAGGGTAAAGATGAGGAAGATATAAATATTTAACAGTATATTTGGGTATTAAAAGTGCTTAATTAGCTTACCAGATTAGAAGTGAAGATTGCATTTCCAAAGATGAGAGATGAAACATTGGGATGGAATTGCTAATTTTATACTTTATTTATCATGGGTTAAAAACCAAGTTCATGAAAATCTCAGTTGACATAATTTACATATCATTAAAATGCTCAATACGACCCTTGGCAAAATACACCTGAGGTCCTACTGGGAATTCATATTTCCATTGTATAGGTATCGTACATAATTAGTTCATTATGTAGTCTGATCACTTTCATTTGAAACATTAACTTGCAGATGAGGGATGTATTGATTAAAGAACCTGAACCATACTCTGAAAGTTTGAGCAATGAAGTCAAACTAATAGTGGCAAAGTAACGAAGATATCTTTCAAATCATGCAGAATTGATAGCCCAATGTTGCATGTTAGACTTAATCTACCCAAACATGGACTGGTAACATGGGTTTTTTTATCTTTCTTCCAAATGTTCCTAGTCATTATTTATCTATCTGGGCATATCTCCTTTGGCTTCCATATTTATTGTCCTGGCCCTACTAGCTGCAGCAAATGAACAGGCTGAAACTAAGGGATGAGTCAAACACATCATCAGTCATGAGTCCCTTCATGGCAACAAGAGATCCAGTCCACCTTGAATTCAATTGACTCTTTTCTATCACCAATTTTCTTTGATTTGACCATTAGTAATTCACACTCTTGTAGAGAGCTTAAGTTTGCAATAAATACTCATTTGAACTGCCTGGATTTTCTGATTTCCCTGGTACTTGACATTAATCTGAATTATTCCTCTTCACCAACATTTTCATGGACGCCAGAATACCCAAGCCATGGCTTCAAGACACACACCCCAGCTGCCACCAAGCCCAGTGCTAAGTATTTACTGGCATCTGACCAGGGGAGTTTCCAAAAAACAGATTGAGGATTTCCTTCATCCTCAGTCTTTTAATCGACTCCATTGCCAAATGGGCACTTCTATTCATTGAAACCAATGATCCCATACTGGGCAATTTTCCAAAGTTCCTTACTAGATTTAGATAATGTTTTGGAGACCTTATTCAAATGGAAACTGCCGAATAATGTATCCGCCAGCTGTGCCAGGGCAACAACTCCATGAGAGCATATGTTGAAGATTTCAAGCTCCTTGCAACAGATTTGGATTGGAGTGAATCAGCCTTACGAGCACAATTCAAGAGCAGGCTCAACAAGGCCATAATCACACAACTGATACAACAAGGTATTCTCCATGGTCTACAAGACCTCCATTTTGCCACTATAACAGCCGAGTTGACTAAAGCATTTTTTTGCAGCCCCAACAAGCCACTTTCAAAGCTGCCTCCACCCGTCATTACCCCAAGCCTTTCTGCCCACTTGGATTTGGATCAGTAGTGAAATCCAAAAATTTTCGCCTCTGTAGATGTGGCTTGGTGGGCATGGCTTGGTGGTCATGTGACCAGGTGGGCTTGGCCAACTTGTAAAATGTGGTGAAACTCACTTAACAATGTTCTTGCTTAGCAACCAAAATTTGGACTCCATTGTGGCCATAAGTTCTCTTTCTTTCTTTCTTTCTTTCTTTCTTTCTTTCTTTCTTTCTTTCTTTCTTTNATGGTCACAGTGGTGAGATGGGAGGCACAGGTGGAGAAGGCTTTGTATCTTCCCTGGGCAGAGCTGATCTTCAGGATGGCAATAACAATGGCAATATAGGAGATCAAAACAGCCAGAAAAGTTGTCAGTGTAATTGTAGTGGATAAAATAAAATGCACAAAGTGAGCAATGTGTGTATCTGAACAGGACAATTGAAGAATTGGGGGAGCATCACAGAAGAAATGATTAATAGTATTTGAGTTGCAGAAATTCAAATTGAAAATAAATATGGTCTGGACTGTTGAACTTACAAAGCCACAAACATATACAGTTATGACTAAGAGGATGCAACACTTCTTTGACATGATCACAAAATACAACAATGGGTTGCAGATTGCTGTGAAGCGATCATATGCCATCACCGCCAGAAGGCAACCTTCAATGGTCACAAAGATGGCAAAAAAGAAGAATTGTGCGGTGCATCCTGTGAAGGAGATGGTTGAATGTTCTACCACAAATGTTGTCAACAATTTGGGGGCAATCGCTGTAGAATAACCAATGTCTACAATGGAGAGATTTCTAAGAAAAAAGTACATGGGTGTGTGAAGCCTAGTATCAATTTTTGTCAGGATGATTATCCCAATGTTTCCCACCAGAGTGATGAGGTAGATGAGTAGAAACAAGATGAAGAGGGGGATCTGAAGCTCTGGGTGGTCCATGAATCCAACAAGGAAGAACTCAGTCACAGTGGTTTGATTTGTCTGCATTGTTTATTTCCCTGAATAAAAAAGAGGGAAAGCTTTATA